ATCCCGGGGTCAGGGATCAATCTCCATATCAGGCTTCACTCTGAGCATGGAGCCTGCTTAAGTCTGTCTCCCTCCCTCCCTCCCTTCCTCCCTCTCTCTCCTTCTCTCCCTCCCCGCCTCCCTCTGCCCCTCTCCCCTGCTTGCTCAATTTCTAAAATAAAAAAATTTAAAATAATAAAAAGATGTTTTTCAGAGAGCATTCAAGTGCTTTTTGAACCCTTCTGTTTTTAACCTTTATGACTCCCCGAGGGCAGCCACCATCATGAATTTGGTATCTCCTTCTAGTTCATTCATTTTTGTTTGTCCTCCTAAGTGTTCATTAAGCTTCTTGGATCTACATGTTTATATTTTTCTGTCAAATTTGGAAATTTTTTCAGTCATTTTTTCTCCAAATATTTTTCTGCCCTAATCTCTCTCTCATCTTCTTTTGGGGCTGTAGGTACGTGCATATTAGACCACTTGATATTGTCCCTGAGGCTCTGGGTTTTTATCCCTGCCTTTTTTTCTCCCCACATTTCTGCTTGATATTTTCTATTGCTCTGTCTTTAAATTCACTAATCTTTCATCCTGCATTATCTAATCAGATTTGAGCCCATTTGAATTTTTTAAAAATAGTTTCCATTTCTCTATTAAGATTCTATATTTGGGGGCGCCTGGGTGGCTCAGTCAGTTAAGTGTCTGACTTTTGATTTCAGCCTGGGTCATGATCTCGTAGTTTTCGTGAGATAGAGCCCTGTGTCAGGCTCCGTACTGACAGCTCGGAGCCTGCTTGGGATTCTCTCTCCCTCCCTCTCTCTCTCCCCCTTCCCTACTCTCACTTGCATGTGGGATCGTGCTCTCTCCCTCCTCTCTCAAAGTAAACTGGAAAAAAAAAAAGATTCTATGTTTCTTCATTAAGCTCCTATTTTCTTTGAAATCCTTGAACATATTTATAATAGCTATTTATAAGTCTTTGTTGGCCAATTCTATTATCTCTGTCCATTTTGAGCTAATCTAATGTTTCTACTGGTTACGGGCCACATTTTTCTATAATTTTTTACTGTGTGCTATCCTTTTATGAATGCTGCCTTGTTGAGTGTATTTTGTTGTCCTCCCTAATAGAATCTGAGTTTTGTCCCAATAGGCAGTCAGTTTACCTGGGGATCTGCTTGATCTTTTCAAGGCTTCTTTTTAAGTGTATCTGGGACAGGTCTAAGGTAGTTCTCACTACAGAACTAGATCATGACTCCTATGACTACGTATAAGGCATGGCTTTTCTGGAATTTCTACTGAATGCCCCCAGGGTGTTCAGCAAGATTGGTACTAGGGATGTTTGGAACTCACACATCTCCCAGCCCAGCGTTGTATCATCTCTGGCAGCTTTTTAGCTGTTTACAGTTCAGCCAAAGTTGGATTTTTGGAGCTCCTTCTCTGTAGAGCTTCCTTTCCTTGGGTATTTTGCCATGTAAATTCTTGAGGCGGTGGGGGGGGGGGGGCGCGGGGAGAGGGGGAGAGGCCTTGAACTATAATGTTTGCTGCCACGGTCCAGAAAGTAATTCTAGGCAGAAAGCCAGGTGATTGTGGGGTTCACCTCATCTGTTTCTCTTCTCTCAGGGATCACAGTAAATTTCATGTGTTTCATCCAGTTTTACAGTTTTGTTTGTTTGTTTGTTTGTTTGTTTGTTTTTATGGCAAGAGGCCTAATCTGGTACTAGTTACTCTATCATGACCCGAAGCAGAAATCCCATTCTTTTGTATGCTTACACTCCCATTTTTTTAAATGTTTATTTTTGAGAGAGAGAGAGACAGAGTATGAACAGGGGAGGGGCAGAGAGAGAGGGAGACAGACAATCTGAAGCAGGCTCCAGGCTCTGAGCTGTCAGCTTAGAGCCCAACGCAGGGCTCAGATCTAAGAATTGCAAGATCATGACCTGAGCCCAAGTCAGACACTTAACCTACTGAGCCACCCAGGAGCCTCTACACTCCCATTTTTACACACTCCCAAAAACGCATATAGTAATATTTTGCATATATTTTTACATGTTTATATAAGTGGTTTATATTCATAGTCTATATTTTTCTTTTAAACTCAACATGTTTTTAAAGACCTATCCACATTTGTGTATTCAGTCACTTAAACATTTGAGTGTATTAAGTGCAAGACACTGGGTATGTCATTTGCACAAGATGGAAAAAGTTCCACTTCCGTGGAGCTCAGAGTCTGGGAAGGTAGGAAGATAATACACAGACAGCCAGGTACACACATAATGTCGCCAGTAAGCACAATAAAGGAAAGTGAAGCAGAGTAAGTGGACACAGTGTGAGTGGGCAAGAGCGACCAGACAAAGCCTCAGTGGAGGTGATATTTGAGTAGAAGCCTGACTAAGTGAAGGTGTGAGCCATGCAGATGTCTAGGGGAAGACAGTTCCCAGAAGAGGGCCTGAGTGTGATGAAAGAAGCATTTGAGAGTTTTAAGGAAGGGCATGAAGTGATCTCATTTATGTTTGAGAAAGTTCTTTCTCGCTGCTGTGCGGAGAATGGATATGGGGAGGAGGTGGGAGGCTGCTGCAGTAATCTAGGCAAGAGATGGCAAGATATGGTGGGGAGAGGTGGTCTTCCTTGGGAAGTTAGCTTACAGGCAGTGCCAACAATTTGCTGTTAGGTAAGTATTGAATGAGGAAGAAGACATTTAAAGAATGATGCCAATGGTATTGGCCTAAGGAATTAGACAAATGGAATGCCATAAACTGAGATGGGGACTTTTGGGTGGCAAATGAATAATTCTGCCTTGAACTTGCTAGGTATAAGATAGCTCTCAGATAACTAAGGGTGATGCCCTTAGTTGAGATGGGGATTGGAGCTGGGGTTTATGTATAATCGGTGTACAGATGGCTTTTAATGCTGTGCCGCTAAACGAGAACCCCTAGGAACTGAGCGTGGAGAAGAGAGGTGATCATAGGCCTGAGCCCTAGGAATGTCAATTCTTAAATGTAAGGTCTTCCTCTTAGGGAATCCAGCAGAAGAGACTGGTAAGAAGTAATCATTGGGGTGGGAGGAAAACCAGGAGAATATGGAATCCCAGAAGCCAGTGAAACAAGTGTGTGAGCGAAGGAGTGACCTATTGTGTTCAGTGCCGCCAAGTGGGTATATGGACGTCATCAGAGACCTAGAGCCACGCGGTCCGTTCGTGTGAACTGCTGTATAGTATGCCATCGTGTGAATAGAAAAGGCTCATTCCTCTCTCTCCCACCATTTACATGAACATTTGCAGCGAACGTTCTTGAACATATCACTGATTTGAGCACATGGGGGGGGGGTTCTCTTTGGAGTCTTTCTAGGGATGGAATCACTAGTTATTAAGGAAGATATGCACCCCTTCAACTTGACAAAACGATGCCAGATTGTTTCCCAGAACAGTGGTACCAGAGTCCATGCCTGTGCTCAGTGTTCAAGAGATGGCCCACATCTTTGCCAACATTTGCTGTTGCAGACTTTAGAATTCTTGCCACTCACATTTTCCTGAGTACTAGTGAGGTGGTGGGTCTCTGCCACTTGGGTTTCCTTTCATGTGACCTGCCTGTTAATATCAGGCAGTTTTCAATGGAGTTGTCTTTTTTTTTTTTTTTTAAGTTGTATGATTTCTTTATATATATTCTGGACACTAAACCTCCATTAAATACATTGCAAATAATGTGTGTGTCACACCCAGTCTGTGGTATGTCTTAACTTGGTAGGGTTGTGGGTATGTGTGTGTATGTGATATAAAAGCTTTTTGCTTTTCTTGTCGATGATGTTTTTAGAGAGAGCACCAGCAGGGAAGAGGGGCAGAGGGAGAGAGAGAATCCCAAGCAGGCTTCACACACAGCATGGAGCCTGACACAGGGCTTGATCCCACACCCTGGGATCATGAACTGAGCTGCAAGCAAGAGTTGGACACTCAACTGACTGAGACACCCAGGCACCCCAAAATAGATTTGAGTTTTGATGAATCAAATCTATGTGTTTGCTTTGTTTTGTGTCTTATTTAATCAACCTTTCCCTATTTGAAGGTCATAAAAACACTTGCCAATATTTTTTTTCTAAGACTTTAAAGTTTTTTTTGTTTTTTTTTTAATTATAAATGTTACGGTTAATGCATTGGAGATTCTGTGTAGGGTGTGAGGTAGGGATCTTTTATGTTTGCTTCCTCTTGTGAAGGCCAGGTCTTCTGACCTCTCCAGCCTCTTCCCACTGATCTGCATTGCCACCACCATCACACACATTTCCTACAGGGGAATAGGTCTGGTTGGGGCTTTTTTTCCCTAATCCACTGATCATATTGCCCATTCTTGGACTCATGCCTAGAAGTTTTCATTATTGAACTTCATAAGAAACCTGCTATCTGGCAGGGCAAGGTGGGCAAAGGGAGGAGGATTATTTGTTTTTTGCTCTGAAGTCATTTGTCTTTAAACAGCTATCCATAGTGTACTTAAAACAGCACTGGCCGAACTTGGGAAAAAGCTATTTGCCACTCACATATCAAGAACTAATTTGTGGCATAAAGAGGGGGGCCTCACTTTTCCGTGAAACTCTGGGTACTTTTACTTTTGACTTTCCACACCCTTGCCCCGCCAACTCTCACCTCCGGTTTTTCAGGTTGTGATGTCTCTGAACCATGGGGCCACTCTTCCGGTATTTACACGTGGTGGGTATTTTGTGACTGAGCTGTGGTACCAATTTCATTGGTTATTGCCAACCAGACCATAGTGACAGGCCTGACGGGTTCTGGGGTTTCCTGTTGCCTCATTGGCACTGAGACCCCGGATTCCAAAAATAAAAGCACAAGAAACCACCGTGACCTCACGGTCTCTGCTTGCACGGTCCTCTGAACGCCAGGGCTGTTTCCCCCCCCCCCCCCCCCACGGCCTGGCCCGGCCTGGACCCTGCTCCCTGCCAGAGCAACGTGGGGTCTGAGTGGCCTGGACAGGCTCTGAGGGCCGTCCCCCCCACCTGAGAACTTGCTCGCTGTCCCCCCTCTTCAGGCTGGCTCCCGCAGGGCCAAAGTGGCTCCGGCAGAGAGGATGAGCAAGTTCTTGAAGCATTTCACTGTCGTTGGGGACGATTACCATGCCTGGAACATCAACTACAAGAAATGGGAGAATGAGGAGGATGAGGAGGACGAGGAGGAACAGCCGCCACCAACACCTGCCTCCGGTGAGGAAGGCAGAGCTGCCGACCCGGCTGCGGCCCCTGTCCCTGCGCCCAGGCCCCCCCTAGACTTCAGGACCACATTGAGGAAGCTGTTCAGCTCCCACAGGTTTCAGGTAGGTGGGCAGAGGCCCAAGATGCCCAGGGTGGGGCAGAGCTGTCAGCCAAGAGTCACGAGGCCAAGGTGGGAGCCCGTCTCTGCCACTGTATGCCTACTGAATGCTAACCGTGTGTCAGGTGCCCCGTCCAGCACTGGGCAGATCCCGTGTTGTCAGGGATAAAATAAGTCACAATCCAAAGTCAGTTAAAGGTCTAGCACCTGATGAGTGAATAAACAAAATGTAGTCTGTCCATGCTCGGCCAGGAGGAGGAAGGAGGCACGGACACCTGCTACAAAGTGGAGGAGGCTTGACAACGTGGTACTCCATGAAAGGAGCCAGACACAAAGACCACAGAGCGTATGATTCCATTTATATGAAATGTTCAAAATCGGCAAATCCGTAGAGACAGACAGCAGATTGGTGGTAACAAGTTGGAGGGAGGGTAGAATGGCAATGGGCTGCTTACCGGATACGGGTTTCCATTTGGAGTGATGAAAACGTTCCAGAACTACATAGTGGTGATGATTGTACCACCCTGTGAATGTGCTAAATGCCCCTGAACTATAAGCCAACTTAAAAATGATTCAAATGTCTTATGGTAGATTTTAGGTTATGCAGATTTTATGACACACAAAAAGTAAACTGAAGGGTAAACACTGGAGCCAGAAAAAGATGTTCCTGCATTCATTCAGCAAACACTGAGTGCGTGCCCTGAGTTGAACAAAGCCAAGATGAGTCCCGTGTCCCAGACACATCACCGTGGGGGCTTCAGTCTCTAATGTTGTAGAGCGATCTGCATAGTGTAGCCCACGGCTGACCTTGGGGTGCAGTTAGGGGAGAACACGAGAGGGACATGTGGAGTTGAGAGAATAGCGAAGCGTCTGTTGGCATCTTCTGACTTCGAAAGACAAGCGCAGGTCGAGTCTGGTCTGGCTGGCCCCGCAGTGTCTGGAAACTTGTTCTGAGAGCCCCAGGAGAATTCGGGAGGCCCAGGGATACTAAGGAAGCATGCAGCCCCCCAGGTCCTGTAATGGAGCCATTTTGGGGACCCTGTTGCTGGCGTCCTCCTAAAGCAAAATAAACCAGCGCCTCCCAAAGCTGACTTCCCTTCTGGAAGCAGAAACAGCCCTTGCCTCTCCCATCACTTTGTTCCAGGGTAAAATAGAAAAAAAAAAAAAAAATTTTTTTTTTAATTTTGGTCTTTTTCTCATTCTTGCATAGCTTAGAGAAATGAAGCAGGCCAAACAGCCCAACAAGCCTTGCAGCTCAGCACTTTCCTCTGCGGCTGTGACAGGAAAGGAAACGTGGTATTAAGTTGTTGGGGTTGAAATCCCAAACCCTCAATTTCAGGAGCAGAAGGAAGGCATCAGTTTCCCTCCAGCTGCAAGGGAAACCCTGGACCTCCCAGCTCTGGGAGGTCCTCCCGAGGGGGCACAGGGCTGGCCCCCTGCGCCAGGACCCCTAAGGACACTCCTACTGGATAAGCCTGACTGTGGAAACATAAGTAGAGATGCTTAGTCATTCACTTGACAGTCACTTCTCAAGCACACACTGCGTGCCAGGGGTACAGCAGCAGGCATGGCAGATGTGTCCCTGTCCTTATTCTTGAAGGACCCACGGTCTATGGAGAGGCAGGCACTCCAGGAACCACCACCCAGACTGATGCTGGTTATGAGTGAAGGGAAGCCCTCTGTAAGAAAACAGAAGGGGGCTCCCAGCGATCCTGGGGGCAGGGAGCCACATGACCCAGGATTGGGTGTCATAAGACATGTAGTGGAGGAGGTGACATTTCACCTGACACCTGAAGCTTAGGCAGGGCTGAGCTCTGTGAATGGGGAGGGGAGGAGCTTTCCAGGCAGAGGGACTGTGTTTGCAAAGGGCCGAAATAGGAAAGGACCTGTCATATTCCTGGAATTGGGAAGGGTCCACATCGGCTTCCGTGTAGCAAGTAAAGGGATAACTTGGCAAGAGAGGAGGTGCTAGAAGGTCACCTGTGGGCAGTGGGCAGCCATGGAAAGTCTAAATGCGTGGGTGGGAGGGAGTGACACAACTAGATTTGTAGAGAGGCTCAGGGAGACCACCTCGGAGTGGGGATACCAGTGCAGGGGTTTGATCTCTGCCGGTAGAATCAGCATGCAAAAGGATTCTGGAATCCCTTTCTTGGATGCGTTCTCTACCTGTTCCCGTGGTTTGAGGCAGCCTAGGTGACCAGATATATAGTTAATTGCCATCACTTCTCACACAGGATGGTACAAGCAAGGGAAAGAATATAGGGCGTGTTGGGCCTCTGTGGAATCCATGGGTGGACAGGGCTGAGCTGGGGAGGACAATTGTGAAGGTCAAGGAGCTTCACTTTATTACCTGCTCACTACAGCCGGGCCCTGTGCCTTATAAGCACCCTTCACACATTACCTCATGTAATGCTCCCTGTGTCATTCTAGGGTGTAAAATGTGGTCAACCGCATTTTCTCCAAGAGTACGCTGAAGCTTGGAGTTAACACTTGAGAGACGTGCCCAAGGTCTAGGCCAACGCAGGAGCCGGCCCGGTGCTGGTGGCCCCATAGCCTTCGCTCTCACCATGGCCGTCTTTGCCCCATCTGGGTTTGGAATTAACCGGCTTCCCTGAATTCTCAGCTTTTCTCTTTGTGACATGACTCCCCTCAGAAATAGCACTGCCTTGTGAAGTGGCAGTTTCAGGGTCTGGGGATTTTTTCACAGCGGTCAGGATTGGAGCCCAGACATTGTAGTTTTATGACCTTCGGTCTGTCTCACCTTTTTTAATTGAAGAGAAATTCACATAATCATTTTATTACAATTATTTAAGAGAGAGCGAGAGAGTGCACATGGGATAGGGACAAAGAGGGGGAGAGAGAGACTTCCGAGCAGGCTCCACACTGGCACAGTGTAGAGCCCAATGTGAGGCTCGAACTTACAAACCGTGAGATCGTGACCCGAGGCGAAATCAGGAGTCATTCCCTTACCTGACTTGACTGAACCAGCCAGGTGCCCCTAAAGTTAATCATTTTAAAGTGAACAATTCAGTGGCATTTTGTACATTCACAGTGTTGTGCCACCCCCACCACGGTCTAGTTCCAGAATGTTTTCATCACCCCAAAAGGAGATCCAATACCCATTAAACAATAACCCTCGGGCCCCCGGGGACCACTAATCTGCTTTCTCTCTGTACGGATTTGCCCGTTCGGGACTTCATAGGAAAGGAATCAGACAACGCGTGGTCTGGACGCCCGGCTTCTTCCTCCGCGTCACGTCTTCCCCATCACTCATGCTGTAGTGTGCCAGTGCCGCTTCCGTTTTACAGCTGAATATTCAGTCTGCTTTTAATGTCTCTGTGCCTTGGTTTTAGACCAGACAAAGCTCTCACATCCCTTCAGCTCTAAAATAAAACCAAGGATGAAGAAAGAAAGAAAAGGAAAAACAACCTGCCAGAGGCTGGAATCTTTGAGCTACTGAATTTGAATATGTGTGAAAACTTCATTACAGAGCAATTTGGCATGCAATTTTCACAGTAAACCATGTCACTGAACACTGTAATTACTGAAATAATTAGCTACGGGCTGAAATGGTCAAAGGGTTTACTAGTCCATCCTCACACAGGCCTGTTGGGTTCCAGCCCTAAACTGCAGGCACTGCCAAGAAAATGGCAGATGAACTTGCGGAATCTACCCCGGAGTGTTGGCTGTAGGAAGGGCCCTGAGGGAGGCGAGGGAGGGTCCACAGTTCCCGAGGGAAGAGAGGGGTTACACGGCGTCCTTTGGGTCTCCTCCCATCGCTGCCATTTCCACCGCCGGACACCGTCACCCCCACCCTGCCATTATAGAGGCCTCACCAGCATCGTCACTGTCACCATGCCCCCCCCACCCCCGTTGGTGAGAGCACGCCCTCACTGCACCCCACTCTCACGGAGCCCGCAAGATGGTCCTCCTCCCACCACTCTCTTCAGTCCCCAGCAGACCCAGGACTCCCTCTGCCCTTGGCCCCCTAACGAGCATGCGTGAGCTGGGCAAATATTCGCGGCTCTGGACGGAAGCGATTTCGTGTGTCCCGTGGACATCACTGTAATCCGGCTGCCTGAAGCAGGCAGTCCCTGGAGGCCTTCCATGACTCAGATCTGTGAGACAGATCTTTTTAATTATTTACCGAACATCTGTTCTGGGCGTACCCTGGCAAGAAGATCTCCAGAAACAGAAAAATTAAAACTTAAAAAACATTTTCTTGCCATCTAGGAATCGGCAGTTTGGCTTGAGAGATGCTGAGACACAGTGAATAAATACGAAGACTGGTGGTGACAGAGTGTCACTCAACCACACAGAGAAGCTCCAGGGGGACAGACACTTCCCAGTGGGTGGGGGCAGCGCAGGCAACAGGCCTGGAAGGCGCTCTACTGTGGGCCGCGGCCTCCCATCCTTGGCATCTTTACCCAGGATGGTTTCCCCTAGATGTTTCTGGCCTAATGTTTCTTGTGCCTTCCCTTGGTCTGCAGGTTATCATCATTTGCCTGGTCATTCTGGATGCCCTCCTGGTGCTCGCTGAGCTCATTCTGGACCTGAAGATCATCAAGGCTGACAAGAACGCCGTCAAGGTAGTGTGTCAGCAGCCCTTTAATACGGCTCAGTTCTGTTATCTTTCCTGAGGCGGGCAGAGTGGGGCAGACGGCACCCGCCTGGGAGTCGCAAGTCCTTAACAGAGTAGGTTGACTGGGTGCTTTTAACCAACGAGCAGAGAAAATGTCTTTCTTTCCAAACTGTAGATAAGCATTTACTACAAACAAGAAACCTTCTCATTTCGTGTGATGGCTCGAATCTCAAGTGGTGCTAGACCGCAGAGCTGGAGCCTGCTGCTGCTTCTAGAGGATCTGACCGAGAGAGGGCTACTGTCCCATCTTTAGGGGCAGATGAGCTATTTCTCTGCCTGTCAACATTCTGATGTGGTCCCCATGTCGGAGATGTGCCCACTGTTTATCCCCCAGTTCACAGCTGCTGCCTGAGCCTGCCCCAGACGTTTGTCCAGCCTTCCCAAGACAGCTGCTAGCTTTTATTCTGCGGCCAGCCCGAGTCCTTCTGGAATATTTTTCCTCTCTCTCTAAACTTAATCACGGACATACCTGCTGTACTCACTCTCTTGTGCCTTTTTCTTCAACTTTTTATTATGAAAAATGGCAAATAAACATTTGCTGTATTTGCTTTCTCTATATCCACAAACACACCCATGTATTTTTGACCATTTGAAAGTAAGTTAGACATTAGGACACAAATATTTCAACTTGCTTAAGTATAAGGTCCTTCTGGGGCGCCTGGGTGGCTCAGTCGGTTGAGTGTCCAACTTCGGCTCAGGTCATGATTTTACAGCTTGTGAGTTCAAGCCTTGCATCGGGCTCTGTGTTGACAGTGCAGAGCCTGGAACCTGCTTCTGCCCCTCTCTGCCCCCACCCTGTTCTCTCTTTTTCTCTCAAAATAAACATTAAAAATTTTTTTTAATAAAATTTTAAAAAAAGGTCTTTCTCCTATAGAACCACAATATTATCAATTCCTGAAAAGTTATCAATGATTCTATAATAACCAGTTTATATTCAAATGTCCTCATTTGTCCCAAGAGTATCTGTTATAATGTTTTTGTTATTTTTTCAAACTAGGATCCAGACATCTGATATTATACTCGGTCATATCTCCACAGGCTCTTTTAATCTAGAAGAGTCCTCCCACCTTTAATTTTTTCCCCTTAGGACACTGACTTTTTGGAGTCCAGCCAGTCATCTTGTTAAGTGTCCCGTGTTCTGGATTTGCCTGTTTCCACAGAGGTCCTTCCAGCTTGTTCCCCTATCCCCTGTACACCATAGGTGAGGTCCGGAGGCACAATTAGCAAGAGTTCTTGGCTGGTGGGGTGTTTTCTTTATAGCACAGCACATCGCTACCGGTGATCCTGAGACCACTTAAGGCAGTAATTGCTGAGCTGTTCCACTGTCCAGGGACACTTTCCCTTTTCATTTATAGATAATCTGCAGTGACACTTGACTGCCATGCAAAAATCCTCTTCTCCAATTAGCGTCCACCTGATGGTCACTATCTGAGTCGGTGAATACATTGGGGGATGCGAACTCAGATTTCCATCATTCATTTTACATCTAGTAGGTGGTAATTTATTTATATATATATATATATATAAAGAAGAGCTTTCCTTTCTCCCCATGTGTGCATACATATCACTATGGGGGACTCGTGGATTTTTTGGGTGTATTCAGTGTATGATAATCATAGTCCTTCTGTTCACTGTTCAAATTGTCCCAAATTTGGTCACTGTGAGCCTCTTCAAACTGACTATATCTTTTTAACATAACTCCATAGGCTCTGAGCATTTCTCGTTCTCTGGCGCAAGACGACGTCCCAGCTGAGTTTGTACTTTCCCTGTCCTAGAATGGAAATGGTTACTTTAAGGAAACGTAGTATTTATAAATAAAGATCTAGCAATCCTCTTCAGTTACCGTCTACCTGGGAGATCATTTCTCGTCAGTACGTAGGAGTCAGCCTTGGTCCTTTGCCCAGTGCTCCATATGGAGGTGCCATAATGCATCTGCCAGATGCCCTCTAATATTTCTATACTGCAAAGAATATAGATCTTTTGTCTGTAAATGATGCTGCAGCGAATATTCCTACAACATGCCTTTGTGCACGTGTCAGCTTGGCTGTAGGATAGATTCCTAGCATTGGAGTCACCGGGCCAAAGGACATGGTTTTCAAATCCTGCCATTGCCCAACTGCCTGTCAGAGGGCAGGCAGGGCAGAGCCCCGGTCTGTGGTGTTCCGGCCGTATTCCCAGGCCAAGAACTGAGCCCGTGGAGTTTGGGGTCAAATCAATGAGTTCACTCTCCGGTGCCCGGGCAGGTGCACTCAAGGCCAGCTCGTCTGTGTGCCCTGCCCCAGCCTGTGACCAGCCCTGGATCTGCACTCACTGTGCTGCCTCTGTCCTCTCCAGGTGTTTCACTGCATGAGCATTGCCATCTTGACCTTCTTTATGATGGAGATTTTTCTAAAATTATATGTCTTCCGCTTGGAGTTCTTTCACCACAAGTTTGAAATCCTGGACACCATCGTGGTGGTGATTTCCTTTATCCTTGACATCGTCCTCCTGTTCCATGAGCACCAGTTTGAGGCTCTTGGCCTACTGATTCTGCTCCGGCTGTGGCGGGTGGCCCGGATCATCAACGGTATGTTCCCTGCACTCCCGGGCTGCAGAGGGAATTGGAGGGTGGGCACAGCCTGAGAGTGGACCCAGAGGCCATGGTTCCTCCTCCTTCTGGCTAGCATTTTCTAGGGAAAAAGGGGGTGACCTGAGTTTGTAGCCTCTGTGGCTACAAATCGACACGGCGTCACATGCTCAAAGAGGAACCACATTTCTCCTGTAGGCCTTGTTTTCATGATAATTAGAAGATATTTATAGAAGGGGTCAGACGAATGCCTCATTGGTCCCTACAGCTTGGTCCCCAGAGCACCTTTGTTGTTTGGTGTTTTCCCGAAGATTGTTCCACCGCACCCCACCCACTGGGAGGGGTACCATCCAGAAGGGGTGCAAGTAAGCTGACAAACCCTGCACCCTAGATTCTGGCCCTTTGAGGAAGTCACAGCACTTGTTAACATGAGGAAGACTTTGAGAACTGTTTCCCAAACTGACAAACTGGACAGTTTGGGGGGAGATAACACCTCTTAACATGACGCAGCCTTTGGCTCTAGAGAACACGCTTGGGGAAAGAATGCTCTACCATATTCCTCATACACACCCTGTTGGTGCAGGGAGGCTGTTTCAGAGAAGCCATGTTTGTGCTGTTATTGGGTGGGCACAGTGATCACCAACTGGTTCAGCTCTCCCTGAACGAGTCAGGGTTGTTCTGAAGCCTGTCTGTAGACCCACCGCACCAGAATCCCCTTCAGGGCTCTTGTTTTTTCACTGGAGAGTCTGATGGCGACGTCTGGGTGGACCCTCGTGGGGTGTCTGTTTTTGAAGTGCTACCAGGTGACCTGGGCGTCCAGACAGGCTTGGGAATCCCTAGACAAGCGTCCAGCCCGACAGACTGTAGGTCAATGCCAGGAGAGTGAGGCAGGCCCGTCCTAGGATGTGCAGCTCCTTCACTGGGCAGCAAGAGTCCCACCCCGGCCTTCCGTGCTGGCGGGGAGGGGTCACGTCTGCTCCGATGCGGGGCTCTGCCTGTGGGCACTGCGGGCTCCCACAGGCTTTAGGAGCCAGTTCAGATCTGATTAAAGTTTATTAAGAATATTCACTTGGGGGGCTGAGTGGGTTAAACATCCGACTCTTGATTTCGGCTCAGGTCATGATCTCACGGTTTGTGAGATTGAGCCCTGTGTCAGGCTCTGCACTGATAGCAAGGATACTTGCTTGGGACTCTCTCCCATTCTCTCTCACAAAATAAGCAGACATTTAAAAAAAAAAAATTAATTTGGGCTCCATCAAAGGAAATAAAGGAAGTTTTCCACTTTACTGAATACGCTTATGCTGATTATTTCATTCATCAAACAGAAATACTCTGTGCAAAGGTTAGCACAATTGAAATGGATCAACCATTACAAACTATGAATGACTCCGGAATAGTTACTACCCATTACTCTCCTATCACACCACTGTGAGATGTGCTTTTACAGATAAAACCAAAAGCCTGAGCTCTGTTCATTCTCTTGGTCCAAATGGTAGCAGGGCACAGGACTGCCTAATAATGCGCACTATTGCATCGCTATCAAATTTAGGGGCAGGACATGAAAGGTCTGAGAAAGCAACACAAGCTTCAACTGGATTCAGACAATCAAGAATGCTGGGGACCGGGGGCCAGTGCTCCCCGACCTATGGCTACCGAGTCCACACATGGTCACTCTTAGTTGGAAGGCACAGAGCATCCCCAGTTGCTGCACAGTCTTTTGAGGTCATGTCCCCACTGTGGCATGGGCATTTGGGAGCCACCAGATAAGGCCGATGACCCCCCCCTGTCAGCCAAGGCTTTGTTGATGGCCTGATAGCTGAATTGGCCATAGCTGTGGGAGGCGGAAAGTCAGGACAGTGACAATTCCAAGGCCAAGCTTGAGCATTTCCAGGCTTGTACTTTCGTGTCTTTTGTGTAGAGTGCTAATAAGCCACGCCGTCATGAACACGCTCTGTGTTAAGGAGCTTAACACTCACGTGGTCAGGGACTATTAAGGACTTCTTAGCCCATGTGGGCTAAAGGGAAATCTTTAGGAGCCAGTTCAGGTCTGATTAAAGTTCCTTAAGAATATTCATTTGGGGAGCACCTGGGTACTGAGTAGCTCAGAGATAAACTCTGACCCTCCTAGTTCTGATGTCTTTAAGGGACTGACCATGCTGTCACCAGCTGGACACAGTTATAAATAATACAGGGCTTTTTCCAAGTGGTTAAACTAGAAACCTATATCACTGAGACCCTTAATTATTTTACAGGAATAATTATCTCCGTTAAGACACGTTCAGAACGGCAACTACTGAGGTTAAAACAGATGAATATACAGTTGGCCGCCAAGATCCAACACCTTGAATTCAGCTGCTCTGAGAAGGTAAGACCACAGTTGTGGGAAAATGCCACCTGTCTGCCTTCAGTTCTGCACTTCTCCCTGCCAGGCCCTTGCTCGGACACAGCCCTCGACTAAGTCTTCCTTGTTCTTTCAGACTCAGGTTAGGCATCGCCTCCTTCCCCAGAGCTATGTCAGGTGTCTCTCCTCTGAGTACCTCCTGTCACTGGAGTCGCCCACTGGACCCCATCTGACTGAGGCAGGCTCCACTGGCAGACTCCAGTAGGAGTGTAGCATTCATTCGGCTGTGCATCCGGGGGACCCACTGAATGCTCGCCACATCTCTGGGGAGGCTCAGAAGGTAAACTGACTTGTTTGTCTGCTTTTGTAATGACAGGAACAAGAAATTGAAAGACTTAACAAGCTCTTGAGACAGCACGGACTTCTTGGTGAGGTCAACTAGATGTGCACCTGCTCCACCCCAAAGAGAAGACCCTGCTTCCACGGGCTTGTGTCTCTGAGAGAAAGACAGCTGCCTCTCCTGGGCCCGTTTCGGGGAGAGGTTTGGTTCGATGCCTTTGCCTCACCTCCACCCAGCTTGGATTCCGGGGTGGGCAGGTGGTAGGGGGAGGGGGGAAGGCGGGGGAAAGGCTTGCCCTTCCTTTCTTGGCGTGACCAAGAGCTTCCCATCCCGTCCTCACTCCACGTCACCATGTATCATAAACTATGTTCTCTCATGTTGACACTTTTGCTTGAAAATGAACGAAGCTGGACAACTACTAGTTGTATATAAAATTTTATCTCATCAGTGTACTTTTCACATTTCGCGTGTATATTGAGGAACCAGTGCATTCTTTCATATGGGCATTCTGAAAGACAAAGGAAAAAAGAAAGCTACCTTAGCTACCAGCCCATTCTAGAAAGTCTTCTCTTCCCAAGCTGTTCTCAACAGCTCCTCTTGGTGCATATTCCTCCAGGGAGGTTGTCCTCAGGTACCCAGCCCCTCCTCTGCCGCATCTAGCTTCTAACGGGCTCTACCCAGTTCCGCCACCTGACAACTTTTTTCTCAATTACTGTGCAATTAATGTATAAAAGCAACTCCTTCCCTCGGGACCTCCTACTCTATTCTTTCCAGCATCAACTGCTAGGAACTGCTCTGTGGTATTCCGTACAACCACCCGTTGGAGAGCTCCAGTGCCTGCCACCGAAATAGCAATTAGACCCAAGACTCCATGTAATGAAGGTGACACCGGGGAAAGATCCCCTCATGAGGCCCTGTGCTCTACTTGCATGATTTTGTACAATTTTGCTATTTTTGTATTCGTTTCCACGGGACCAGTAAAGGAAAGAAAACCTGGACTACAAACAATGAGTATTTTTTAAATAAGTCATGTTGAAGCAGAGGATGAATACACTGGATGAACCCTCGATGCCTGAGCTACTTCAGGGTCTGTCCCCTGTACCATCTTCCCAAAGCTGCAATTTGCTTTCCACACGTGACCTATGTGCCAACAGTACTGGAAATCACCAAGACCAGACGGTGCCCCATTCTAAGGTCACACTAAGTAGAATTTCCAAAAGGAAAAAGGAGGGAAGTGAACGGAGAGAGGAGATGTGTGGTTTGAGGGCAACCCCACAGGTCAGAGGTGTAACACCACAGGAGGTCTCCAAGGGAGCCCACACCCCACAGCACTTGATTCTAGAGGTGTGGTGTCATTTCCTTGATTAAAAACTTACGTCAAACAAAGGGGAAGAAGAAATTAAACGGCAGCTTGGCATTGATGGTTGGCCGAGTCCTGAAGCCCGCCTCTGCAGGTGCAGACACATCCACAAAAGTAACCGCAGTGGAAATAAGAACCGTTCTTTCATTTCCTGAGTTGGTCTGTAATAAAAAGAGCGATGCAAGCCCTGCCTTCCAGCGTGCTAACAAAGCTGGGACATGTTGTGTTCTTTTCGGCACGTGACCGTGGTCAGTGCATCTCATAGGTATGCGGAGGGCCCATCAGCCACTAACTTGGATGAAAGATACCACTTTTACCCAGGTTGTCCTACCCCATCAATGTCAATCGCAACTCAATTTTCAATGAATTTTAAGGATCAAATCTAAACAAGAACGCTAATGTGAATTCAACTGTTGTCAGAATTTTCTAACTAAATGACTGCTAAAGTGTTTAAATTTCAATAATTTTTTCACAGAATAAATTTTATTATCACACTTGAGTTTTGTCTGGACTTACATCTTAACCAATACCTTGATTTTTTTTAAGTTTGTTTGAGAAAAGTGTGGGAGGGGCAAAAGGAGAGAGAATCTTAAGCAGGCTCCATACTCAGCGTGGAGCCCAACACAGGGCTCAATCCCATGACCCTGGGATCGTGACCTGAGCTGCAATCAAGAGTCTTGACGCCCATCCAAGCCACCCAGGGGCCCCTTAACCAATACCTTTCTACTCAAGTTAGACGTACCTCGGGAAATGAGGATGCAATTAGATTTGCAGTGACATTAACTATTTTAGCCTGTGGGTTCAGTAAGGATCCGTACTTTGTCCACTTCACTTCTATAACCAAAGCCACTGGGAGCTGGCAGGAATCCTGCAAAACAAAATGCCATTCACCAGTCTGAACATTACACAACCTCATGTCAAACTTAATCTGCAGTTCAGTTTTAATTATAAAATGTTTCGCATATTACAAAATGTTCTGAACAAGAGAGTGAATAGACTCTAGAAGTTCAGACGAAAACAGCTGAGAGCACATATTTTAAAGTACTCAGTGCTCCAAAAATATTTTAACACCTAAAGCATCATTTTTCCCGTGCTCTCCCGCTTCTAGAAAGACGAGCCATTATTGGGAAGTTCTGGAGATCCCAACACCAAACTGGAACACGGGGCTTCAAATGCCCCAACTTCAGCTCAGGGATTCTTTAGGGGAGAAACTGGCATTGGGTGGGGAGAGAAGAGAGGATGGGGTCATTCACAGAAATTAAACCTAATTGCAGATCACGTTCCAGAACACACCTGGAAGAAATGCAGTTGCTCTCTTTCCATTTATTTAATCTCATCAGTTGGCGATCAAGGTGTTACACAGGAATGTATAGAAATGAGTCTGTAAGGGGTGCCTGGGTGGCTCAGTCGGTTAAGCGTCCGACTTCGGCTCAGGTCATGATCTCACGGTCTGTGAGTTCGAGCCCCACGTAGGGCTCTGTGCTGACAGCTCGGGCCTGGAGCCTGTTTCAGATTCTGTGTCTACCTCTCTTTCTGACCCTCCCCCGTTCATGCTCTGTCTCTCCCTGTCTCAAAAATAAATAAACGTTAAAAAAAAAAAAATTTTAAAAAAAATGAGTCTGTAAGTTGTCAAAGATACTAAGTCTCCTGTGGACTGAGAGCATTGCTCCCACAGTTGCGCCTCCTGAGGCCTCTGCCCCCGGGGCAGAACAGGCCAGCAGCCTCCCAACCTTTTTCTTGCCTTTACATCTGGTTTGTTGGCAAATGTGATAACCACTGAAGCTGCTTGACCGGTAGAAGGGATTCCATTGTAATACTCGACTTCTGTGTGTGTTTGACATTTTCCCCACAATAACAAGTTTTTAAAACTACGCCTCTTTAGGGCATGAAAAGCTACCAAGCCTGCTAAATTTGGTGCCTGCCAAAAAGGCACTGGTGGAACTCCTTAGCTTGGAACTGCCTTTTAAGAAGTTTGCAGGCAAAAAAATCCCTGTGACTATCCTGTTATTAGAAGATGCGATACACCACTGGCAGAAACTGAGCTTATTAGCACAAGCTCTCATGTCTGCTACTGGAGTTTCCTGGAAGGGGAGTACAAAACCCACTCCAGGCTCTCTGAGCTCCCTGGACCAGCAAAGCCCTGAAAACGCTAATGTCTGCACTGCCTCTCCTCCCAACCTGTTTTCCCCTCTGAGGGGTCCTAATAACTGGATGTCTCAACCCAACTGCCAGAAGCCAGAAGCAATTTGCCTCGCTCCGAGGTGGCAGACCCGAGCCAAGACATAGCAGCTGAACAGCAGGGACTGAGTAATCATGGGTCTCTGCCGGGGACTCAGGAGGAGGGCCGGATCAGAGCTAGAGAGCTAGTCCTCAGCCCCTTTGTCCCCACGCTATAAATACGCTAAGCAGAAAATGAGAGGCCCGAGAAGCTGCCACAAGCAAACGCTGGGCAATTAAAGGATAAGATGGAGAGCACGCCTCCGGTGATCGGGACCAGCCCACGCTCTGACGGCTGAGACAAAAGAAAAAGGTGGGCAGAGCAATCACATGTGATCAGGAACCTCTCTGTAGCATGTCAAGTTCCATTACACTCTTCAGGGAACTTTGGAACTGAAAGCTCTCACGTGTGGGCTGCCTTTATAGACCAGGGAACGAGAGATGGGACAGCGATGTGGACAGGACGAGTCTCTCTTTCTGTGACAGTCCATGTCATACTCCCCTGTCCTGTCACGATGCCTCATGTCACACCAGCAGTGATCGTAGGAAGTCAGGATGGTGATGGGTGGTAGTTTCCACGTTTGCAGCGGCCACTAGGCACCACGAATGTCCCTCATTTAACTGTACCACCCCGTGTGGCTGACACTGTAGCCCTCACTCCCTGTTTCACAGATGAGGAAACAGGCTCAAACCCTCAAAGGCAAGAGCGCTAACGAGGGGCAAAAACAGTTTTCAAGACCCAGGCCCATCTGACAGCAAAGCCTGGGCTCCGGCCCAGAGCCATCCATCTCCTTAACAGCTCCCCACGGGGGAGGGGGAGCAGTGGGAATAGGAGAGACCACTCGCGCACAGGTGCGGCCTTCCGCTTCCCCTTTACCTTCATGTGGGGCGCCTGGGTGATGAAGTGGATGGGTACCCAGTCCAGCACATCCTCGGCCCGGGAATTTCCAAAAGGGGCCACATAATCCGGGAAGCCATGGCCCTTCAGGAGGCTCTTCACTTTCTGCACTGCAAGCTGACACGTGATGGCTTTGGTCAGTCTCGTGGGAAGGAAGAAGAGGTTGATGCAATGAGGCTGTTGTTCATTCCAACAGTTTTCACCGGCTCAACAACACACGTGCCCTCTCCAGTTTATTTTTATTTTCTCACTCCAAACCCATCATTTGACAGAAGCCAAATTGTCTCTAACTCTGAGAAACCTCGGTTAGCTCTGTACAAGCAGAGCTTCCATGGCCAAAAGTTTGGGAAATATTGCATGCCCACATCCCTCCTGAAGCACACTGGCATATTAGAGGCTCTCCTTACAGTAAGGAATCATGTTTTTAAATTTAGTTTGGTGTTGCTCAAACATATTGATTGGACCACAGACATACCCCTACTGACTCTTGTGGAAATGTAGTCCCTGAAACTCCCTCAGAGAAATACTGGTCTAAAGTGATCAGAACCAATAATGGAAATGGAATGTGTTGGTCTAACCAAAACAATGCTATAATTACCCTGAGGGGAGGTAGGGATGGGAAGTGTAGGGTAGGAGAAGAAAGGGGTAAGAGCCAAATCTTGGTCTTCCATAGTGGGGACTCAATAATTCATAAGACCAAAATATCAAGAAGCAGCATTACATAAAGGTTATTCACAGATTTGGGAGTAAGTTTCCAAAAACTCAGCTATAGGAACTTCAAGAGATTGCCTGCAGAGGGGGGAAATGGGGGTAAAGCCATGCGGAGCTGACCTTTTACGTTATATGTATGTTTGATGTTAACACGGTAAAAACAGAGATCACATGCAGGCTTCCTCTCAATGGGCTTGTTGCACTATGTAAATTAAATTTCAGAAATATAGAAAGGACTTTCAGGGACAGCTTCTTTTGTTTTTTGTTTTTTTTGTTGTGAACTCAGATGCTATGTATGCAACCTTAAAACCAAATCTCCAAAACCCTTGAGATTTTTACTCTGCCACATCTGATAAGAAAAATGATCTAAACAATTTTCCTTTGAATCATGACAAATGGTGTATGGCTGTGAAAACTAAAATTAGAAAACAAAGGTACTGTCACTAGTGCCAACAGGTCACACTGTGGCTTTCACATGCGCTTGCAGGCTGATGGGGAGGTTCGACTGAGATGGGGGAAGAGTAGGAATGTCTTGTTTTCTGATCAACACAAGTTCCAAAAGAAACAAGTTTCTCTCTTACCTTAGCTTACAGCCAGATTGCATATCATAACCAAATAACACTGGGGTCCGGATCCCCTCGAGTGCTAAGCAGTCTTTCTCCGCTGTGCTTCGAAGAATAGTAAGTTGTCCATATCTGTTCATGGTCTGAATAATCCCAGATATTCACAGAAAGTTAAGGGACAATCACCCAGTACAAACGCAGTCCGATTTTCAGGAGACAGTGACACATGTGTGACATGAAGTGAAACCCAAATATCCCTTCTCTAGGCATCTGCAATTTTGACAGTTATTTCCTGGGACAGAGCAAAAAACGGTTCTATTCTCCTTGATTAGGAGATCCTCAGAAAGAAAATCCTCAGAAACCGTTCCTCCTTTAAAATATTTCCAATTTTTCAATATCACTAAATGTGTTTAAGAGTCTCTGTTTAAGTATGCAATTAAATATATCTAAAAGTCTGTCAACTTTTCTGTCTTAAGATTTTCGCTATAAAACACGTTTTCCAGGGTCACGCTGTTTCACCCCCAACCACCCCACATACCTCACGTGCTCTGCGGCCAGACCCACCACCACCAGAGCCAACCAGAGAAGTCCTGGCCAGAACTAGTCTCCAGCTCACAGGACTCTCAGCAATAAAGAGAAGAGTGACACACACAAGTGGACAGGGAAATCAACCTTGTCTACAGAACCAAAAAGGATATCCCTTCTGAGGCTGAAATCCAGCAGCTAATGGGAGCCCTACAACATAACCAGGGTTTCCACTGAGAGGAACCGGCTTTGTATTTTGCTGAAAGACAAAGAAGAAATGCCCCCAAATAATTCTTAATTTAATAAGGAAATAGGGTGAAAATAAAATGCTTTTCACAGTGAAATCTAGGATTTCCAACCAATAAAAGAATTCCTCCCCCCTACTCAGAACTATAAATATATCTGCTGAGTGTAGGAGTAGATCATTCTATAAAAGAACAAGCTCACATGGAAGAAAATCTTACTCCCAGAAAGGATAAGATACAAGGACTCTGCCTGATTTCCTCACAAATACATGCGACATAAACCCTTCGTTTAGTACAAATGGATAGATGGTAACACTTCTAAATTGGGATACCTTTTCCC